AATTATCAAATAACTTGTGTTCTGCTTGTCAACTAGGAAAATCCTCAAAACTATCTTTATCCGATTCAAATTTTCATAGCAATAATTTTTTGGACCTTGTTTATTGTGATGTTTGGGGCCATTCGCATACGCCATCCTTCAATGGTCATCGTTTCTCTTTGTTATGTGTTGATCATCACTCTAGATATATGTGGTTTTACCCTTTAATTCAGAAATCTGATGTTTATACAGTCTTAACAAACTTTATTAAAATGGCTGAACGCCAATTTAACACCAAGTTAAAGTGTATTCAGTCCGATTGGGGGGGAGAGTTTCGACCTCTAACTACCTTCTGCCATAACCTTGGCATAATTCATTGCCGTTCTTGTCCCCATACAAGCGAACAAAATGGCATTGTAGAACGTTGTCATCGTCATGTTGTCGAAACTGGACTCACACTCCTAGCCCAATCCAGTCTTCCTCAACGCTTCTGGCATTTTGCTTTTCGTATAATTAATAAATCGACTCCCCTCTCGTGTCTCCTCCAACAAATCTCCCTATGAACACGTTTTCAAACACAAACCTGATTACTCCTTTCTTCGAGTCTTTGGATGTCAATTTTTTCCCTATCTTCGTCCATATAACCATCACAAGATTGATTTTCGCTCCACTTCGTGTGTCTTCCTTGGCTACAGTCCTGTTCACCATGGTTACCGGTGCCTTGATCCTTCCACTGATCGGATATACATAGCCAGACATGTTCGTTTCAATGAGCATGTTTTTCCCTATCAACCACCTACTTCTACTCACTCTCCATCCCAACCCGACTCTCCATACATATCTATTTTCCCTACCCCACCACCCGGTTTTCCAACCGAACCCAACTCACCACCACCACCACCTTCCGTACCACCTCCACAACTCGAAACAACCCCACCACCACCTTCCGTACCATCTCCACAACTCGATACAACCCCACCAACCTCACCCTCCCAAACCCCTAACCCCGGGTCCTCACCAGACCCGAATCCCGCCCCTACCCACTCACCTCCCTCCCCTCGGCCTCGGCCTCTTAACCTTCGTCCCAACCCTAAACCCACCACCCGATACGCTGCCTACACTGCCACCACTACCCCTACCTTACCTATTGAACCTACCTCCTTTACCGTTGCCAACAAGTCCCTAGAATGGCACCAAAGAGTTGACTGCGTTTCATCGAAATGGCACATGGACATTAGTTCCCCCTGTTCCTAATACTAACGTGGTTGATTGTAAATGGGTTTACAGGTTGAAAACATATGCGAATGGAAAGATTAGCAGGTACAAGGCCCGGCTTGTTGCCAAGGGCTTCCATCAACAACATGGAATTGACTATCACGAGACTTTCAGCCTAGTAATCAAACCTGCTACTATCAAAACCGTGTTATCACTGGCCGTCACAAATAAATGGTCTTTACGTCAGTTAGATATCGAGACTGCATTTTTACATGGTGATCTTCAAGAGACCGTTTACATGCGCCAACCTCCTGGTTTTGTTGATCCTAACAGGCCAGATCATGTGTGCTTACTGAACAAGTCGTTATATGGGCTCAAACAAGCTCCTCGTGCCTGGTTCACAAAATTGTCTACTGCTCTTCAACAGCTGGGGTTTTGTKGGTCTAAAACTGACCCTTCTCTCTTCATTCTCAACTCTGATGACACGCTCGTTTATCTTCTTGTATATGTCGATGACATTATCATCACCGGTAACAACCCAGCTGCCGTAACTACCATCATTGATCRTCTCAACTCTCTATTTGCTCTTAAAGATCTGGGCCAACTGCATTATTTCTTGGGCATTGAAGTGGTACACCATGGTTCTGATTTACTTTTGTCTCAACAAAAATATATTCTTGATATTCTTCAACGAGCTGGTCTTGCGGATTGCAAACCTATTTCATCTCCTATGAGTACCTCTCAAGTACTCTTACTCGATGACAATCCCTTACTTGATGATCCCTCTCGGTTTCGGCAGACAGTCGGGGCCCTCCAGTATGTCACTTTATCTCGTCCAGATATTGCCTTCGCAGTTGACAAGGTGTGTCAGTTCATGCATGCTCCGACTGGAAATCATTGGGCTGGTGTCCTACGAATCCTGCGTTATCTAAAGGGCACGATCAACCTCGGTCTATTGTTTCGTTACAACACGGGGTCTCGACTTCAAGCCTTTTCAGACTCTCACTTGGACACTAATCTTAGAGCCTTCTCAGACTCCGACTGGGCAGCCCTATCGATCGTCGATCCATGGGGGGATATGCTATCTATTTGGGTTCAAACCTTATTTCATGGTCTGCTCACAAACAACGAATTGTCTCTCGATCTTCAACCGAGTCTGAATACAAGGCTATTGCTGACACTGTAGCAGAACTGATTTGGTTAAAGTCCCTTCTTCATGAACTCGGTTTGATTTGCAAGGCACCCACACTTTGGTGTGATAATCTTGGCGCAACTTATCTTTCTGCAAATCCAGTCTTTCATGTCCGCACAAAGCACGTTGAAGTCGATTATCACTTTGTTCGTGAACAAGTTGCTCAAGGAAAATTGAATGTCAAGTTTATCTCCACTGATGACCTGATTGCTGATGTTTTTACAAAGCCCTTGTCTTCACAAAGATTTGAGTTTCTACGGTCCAAGTTGCAGGTCGTTCCCCGCCCTCAACTTGCGGGGGAATGTTAGACTAAGTTAAATAACCTTATTGTTGAGGGTATTAAAGTGTAACTGCTTAGGGTATTAAAGTGTAATTATCTGTCCTATATAAAGGGCACGTATTCTGTCTTTTAAATATACAATAAAATCAATAAATTCAAGGTTTGATTTATACCAAATTAGAACTTGAAATAATAGCACTGTTAGAGTATGTAAATACCCTCTAGGATTGTGTAAATATTCCCCAATATCTTTTTGATAGTTTCCTAATATGTACCTCCCATACCCTCTGTGTGTGTGTATATATATATATATATATATATATTTATCTTAATGAAATGGAGAGCCAAGGAGATTCATTCTATCTTTCATACTATCATGGTAATCAGAGCATAGGTTTTTCTTACTGGTATACGCATCCTACTCGGTTAGATTTCCTTTTGATGATACGTTCGTCATTTCAGTCTACCCTCGACTTGTTCATTTGGTCCCTCATTCATCCCAATATGTAACTTTATCCATCGATTTTCAAATCCCTCAAGTGGTCGGCTTTGATACCAAGCTTGTAACATCCCTCGTTTCCATCTCCCAACCGAAGGGTGTTACGGACATCTTTTTTCCATAACCATTCATATGTGAATATATAAAACATATTTTAATAAAGCGGAAACAATTGAAGTCAGAACATAATCTTATTAATATAAAAAGCATTTCGATAGATCCTAGTTACAATACACGATCTAGGCTTCTAATGGATATATACTAAGACACAATCTAATATGAAGGCCATATAATACGAACCGATAAAAAAACTCGACTGCATCACGACTTTGGTAGCTCCCTTGAACTATTTACATCTGCCTTCAAAGCATGGGATGATACTAATCTACGATACATACTTAACTATTAAGCAATTAATTGCTTAGTAATTTCAGGTTTATACATCAAATATCATGTACTCAAATTTTACAGCCTCATAATGAAAAGTAAACATGCTAATGTGTTCATGAAGTTAACCATTTTATAATTCGATTTCCACCTGTCGATGTCACACATTCTGGTATTATTTCAGAACCCTTTGTGAAGGGTCCGGGATAATTTCTACAACCCCTTGCCACGGTATTACCATCTCGATGATGCAAAATTCATAAGCCTCATCCCAACCATCCTTTTATGATTAGCACTCATTGGTTCATTTTACGGTAGTGTAATCATCAGTTATTAATATAGATATGTAAAGCAAGAATCATGAATATAGTTTATCATAATAGCATGTAAACTAGAGAATCAATGTGAAATGTAGTAATTTAAGTATGTATCATAGGTTTGTAAACAGAAAATTAAGTAATTACATGCTGTTTTGACTACTTAATTTCTGCAGAATTCAACTTTCCGGGCTTCTAACCTTCTCTTCCTCTCCCTCTCCCTCTCCCTCACAAAAGATGGGATTGTGTGTGTGTGCTAGAGATTGCAATAAAAGGAGATAAAAATACAAGAACGAGACTGCCTATTTATTACAAAAGGTTGAGAAGCTTGGAACAATAGAACACCTCATCACCAACCCCTTCCGAGCCCCTTTTCCAACTTTTTTTTGTTTTAGTACCTGTAATAAATAATTTACAGCCTCTTTTTATTGTTACTGCATTATTATTTGATTCGTTTATTAATATTTAACAGCCCTCCTTTTCTTTTCTGTTTAGCTTAAAAATAGATCTTTTTTTTATTAACCTGGATATACATCCCGCTATGTAAGCCGACTAAACCTGTGGCGACCACCTGCTTTGCAGATAGCCCGGAGTCACCGCATTTGAACCTCCATGGCCACAAGGGGATTTTTATTCCTCTTTAGATTTAAACCTGGGACCTTCTTGTACTTTTGACCTTTAGAGCCAAGTTCAAACCAATCAGGCACCACCCTTGTGGTTTAAAAATAGGATGTTACAACTCACTTATCGGGAAAGACTCTCGTCATCTCTTACCAGGTAAGATTCTCGGTCTTGCCATGTTCACATGATAAAGTAAGTGACATCCGGTAAGCGCTTACCTGATAAGTGTTTGGTAAACGGCCTCTTAATTATTGGTTGACATTATTAACAATTTTTCAAATGACTTATGTTGAATATGGATTGATTTTTGAGGAATTTCAATCAAGAAAGAGAAAGAACGAGTATCTAATTTTAGTTTTTGGCCTCTGTATACTTAACAATGGATTTAACCAACATTCCTTGTAAATAAACTTGTATGAAGTCCTAATAGAATTCCTTAATAAAGATACGCGTGTTCCTTTCTAACATTTCGCTCACGTGATGCACCCAGTTTTCTACTCCTTGATACAGGTGGTCAAGCAAAGACCCTTATGTTTGTGCAGTTGAATCCGGAAGCTGCCTCATATGTTGAAAGTTTGAGTACCTTAAAGTTTGCTGAAAGGGTCTCTGGAGTGGAGTTGGGTCCCGCTCGGAGTAGCAAAGAGGGTAGTAATATCAAGCAGTTGATGGAACAGGTATTTTATGCTCCATGAAATCTTATTCCATAATCATAATGTTGTTTTTCATTAATATTTTCATTTTGTTGTTTTGATTTATCAAACAGGTGGCTTCCCTAAAAGAGACGATTGCAAAAAAGGACGAGGAGATTGAGCGCCAACAGCTGCTTAAAGATAAGAAAAATGCTCTTCCAACTGTTCCTGGTGAGAGACGTTCATCGAGGTATGGGTCTTCTTCCCCATCTCCCATAGCAGGAGCTTCTCCTTCTCCACGCAACAACGTAAGATCCACTGCTCATGGAAACCCACCAGACAATAGGCGTAGGTCTTTCGATGGCTTCAGACAATCCTTTCGGCAATCAAGTCATGCCGAAGGTCAGAATCTTTCAGACAACTTACATAATGTGAGACATTGATCGAATGATGTATCTGATACTTGTCTTTCTGTGGGTACAGACACGGATAGCTCTGTTGATGGCAGCCCATCTCGTGAAGGTTCAAGAGCTTCCCACAACTCAAACAAGTAAGTTTTTTACTCCGTCTTCCGTTCCCTCCGCATGCATCTTGACTATGAATGATTTTATTGTTTTGCTAACATGTCAAACATTTTACTCCCACAGTTACAGAAGAGGTAAAAAATGACTTTCTGGACAAAGGTATCTTGAATTATTACCTTCACCTCCCACAAAAGTATCTTGCTTCTGTAACATCACCATCAAAATCATTGGTTTTCCATGATTATCATCAATTTTGGAACGTGCATGATTTTGAAGATTAGGTCTTCGTAAGCTACTTTTTTAGTAGCAATCTTACAGAATTCTCCAACTGTAGTATGGTATGGTACTGAAATAATGTGTGATAACCCACAATTACTGTGGAATATGCCGATCGACAAACGACATGTTATGTGTCAGGATAACAATACAAAGCAAATAAAGCATAAAAAAAATATGGTACAAGCATATAGTGAGGTTCCACGGGTTTCCATCCGTGTATGTCTTCTAACCAACCGAATTCTCTTCCTAACCAACCCAAGTCTCTCGACGCCCAATTATGTGTTGAGCATCATAAAATTCCACTCAATTTTGATGCTCAACACACATGCCTTCAAGATACAAACAATGTCCCGATTACTAACACACTAACAAGCTTTATCATTGTCATAACCCGCTAACGATAGGGACAAAGAGTAACACAAACGATGCCATCATCCAAACTGGAATACCGACTTGGTGTCCACAAAATGAATGCCCAAACCTGGATCCTAAATCTCAACCTTGATCAAAGTATCGTTGACGGGTACGACCTGCCAAAGAAATAATGAACCGAATCTCCATATGGAGTTAATAATTCCCAAATTATCTGCACAAGTAATAGGTCAAATATGGGCAATGCCCTAAACTTGAAACCCGGCATGCCGAACATCAAAGAAAGTTGGACTCCACCTTTAGCCTAATATTGTATTCGATACTCCAACTCAATGTAAATATTTCGTCATTCCAAAAACATGCTTTGTAGCTACACCTATGAGTATTAAGAGCAACCTCCATTACCCCCTCAATGAGCCCTGGAAACACAATAGTTAGCATAATGAGCAAACTGACATGCATCTTTGTTTCCCCAAATCCTTATACCCCACAACTGATAGTTGTAGACACAACTATGAGCATTCCAAGCAAAACTATCATGTACCTCTACTGTGGCTAAATGTGGAAAGTTCATTACTCCATAAAGGAGCCTTATAGACACAAGTAGAGGTGTAATGAGTCAATTGACACCTTATTGCCACAAAATATTGGAAAGCACAGACTCTACCGTGAGAAGACCAATAGCTAAAGTTGCACGAGATCATTTCCCGGTATGAGTCCATGTGGGATCAACACAAGACTTCTAAGAGTTAAACACCAAACTCGATACATATCTCTACCCCCAAAAGGCCTATTACACCACCAACAAAGTTCCGAAGACATAAAGTGAGCATAAAATTCAAAGGGAAAATCCAAGTTAAGTTTGGGTCACGCCTGAACCGACACCCTCTTGGTCCAAATTAGTATACAAAATGTGTTTATTAGCACCTATTGCTACCCAACCCAAACGCCACCACAAAAAGAACCAAACTACTAAAGCTATTTGTCTAACACGTTTGCATGGCTAAAACTGGCTATGTTGCATAACTATGTGGTCAAAAAGGAAAGAGTGGTATGGAGGCTTCAACCCCCCTAATGACCAGTGGAGCCCCAAGAGAGCCTCGAACTGTTGTTGACAAATATTTTTCGAGCATCAAATTCAGGATGTAAATTGCCCAAACTGAAAAAAAACCAAGACCCAAATGATTGCGCACTAACATAATCACAAACATATGTCTTTTCTGTAGCTTTACATTGAACATGACGAAAATCCACACAACCTAGACGCAGAGTCAATTACGACCAAAATGGGTTTATCGCTCATTTGTGAACAATGAGGCCTCTCTTGTCTCTTGATTCTTTTGCTCTAGACATTCTCTCACCTAAATTCCTAGGTTTCCAGAAATAGTTGCAAACTCTGTTACTTTTGTTTTGCTCCTCGAAATAGGGCATTCTTTGATTGGAATGCCCCTAAAATTCTTAGAAGACCCACCTCTTTCTACAAGCCAACCTCAAAGACTATTGTTGTCCTACTAACCTGATTCCATCACTTTAATCTTTTTCTTCTTTTTTTCAGTATTCACACTTGAAAGTGACAAGGTCTTGCGTCCACTGATGGGCTGTTGGCAATCCCATTGTAACAGTAACAAGAAAATCATTAGCAATGGCTCGTCCTTGAGCAATAAATCCACAACTTTCATATGTATCACAAGATCATAGATGACATTCAGATGTTGCTTAATGGTTCATTCATCTTGAATCTTGAACATAAAGAGGGTGTTTGTCAACATTACAAAGACTTGGTCATAAACCCACATTAGTTGATATTTGTTGTTTAGATGTACCATTCACACCCATAGACATGTAAGAAGTTGATGTTTGGTATTCTTCCATGAAAAAGTTCAAAAGTTGTCATCCCAAATCTATTGACGATAATGATCTATTTCGGGTGAGATATTCAATGTTAACTACTTCAGGTCACAAGTAGAGTGGAAGTTGAGATTCACTAAGCATTGTTCATGCAGCTTCTATTCGATGTAGTCACAACTATGAGCATTCCAAGCAAAACTATCATGTTCTTTGTTTCTCACATGATGCTTAAAAACTCGATGCATCACCTATTTATAAACTCAATGCATCATTGTTTATAGGAGGATTAGATCAACCTCAACCACATATAGCTATATATATACATATATATATATATATAACATGTCCAGAGTTCTTGTTGCCAAATGTACGTTTGATCAATGCTTGCATGCATGACCATATCTTGATTTTTTGAAGACCTTGATCAATGTTTGCATGCATGTGATAACCATATGGCATGGGAAAACTTCAGGCATCTCAATTCGCAACGGTGTGATTTGGAAACCATAAGTTAGCTTATCTTTTGAACTTATTTGAAAATGCCTCGATTGGTCAGCCATAAGCTAGCTACTTCAAGTAGCATTTCAAATTCAATAAACTCTAGGGGGTTTCAACAAGTACTTCTATTTTCCATTTATGTTTTTCTATTTTTCCAATTGATGTTTCAAGATATGTTTTTTTAGATCATTTTACATTGTTATATAACTTGTGAGCTAGTTTTTACCAAATACGACTAGTTTATTAGATAGCTTATATAGCTGTTTAAGTTCAAAAAGCTTATCTTTATGGTTCATAGCCCTGTCTAATTGGTTGTGAACACCTTGATGATCTAAAAAAGCCATATGGTGATGTACTTTCAAAATATACAGAAGAATAGACTTGTTTCCTCTTCTGCCTCTGTCACGATCATCTTTTTATGGTTACAAATTGAACAAACCCGATTTCCATTGGATTTCTGCTAGAGAATTCCACTCTAAACTAAACCATAGGCTCAACTACTGTTTAAACCAACTTTTCTTTCTGCAGGAGTCGAATTTTAGATTTCATCATAGCTAATAGATTCCCCTTGTTTGAAACAGTATATAAATATCTATTGGCTAGAACGCTAACAGAAAAAATGGTTTTGCAGGACAAAATCAGGTGGTAAAATTTCTCGCCCATTGTCAAAAATATCCAAGGAACTTCCTAAAGCTGCAAAAGGTACATGAATGATACTTGATGATCTAATTGAGTTGGTATTCTTACAATGTTTAATGAGCAATTGATTCCAATTTTATTCTTTCAGTACTCAAGATTAACTTGTAATACATTAGTGGTTGTATCATACGAACATTTAGAATCCCTTTTATTACAAAGTATTAAGCAACCACCCATAAGTTTACCTTTTTTGCTGCTGGAAGGTTAGGAGTTGAGTCCGTCATTACAACAAAATGTGTCTTTTAGGATGCGTAGACGTCCTAATAGAGTACTTAACGGACTTTATGTTTATAGAACCAAAACTCTACGTCATATAAATAAAGTTCTAGCACGAAATATGAAGTCCTATAGATAATAGGACACAAAAAAATAAATAGTCCTATTAGCCTTATTATATGTACTAGTCCGATCAAAAGAAAATTAATATAAAAGGGCTAATAGGACTTTTCCTTGAGTTTCCAATAAAAAAGGTTAATAGAACGATTACTTTTTGTGTCATGTCCATCTTAGTCGATAGAACTCGTTAAGACGTCTTACTTTTATCGCAACGTCTTTATATAGTTTTTGTCTTATAAACTGAAAGTCTCATTAAGTACTTTATTAGGATGGTTGGACTTGGACGTCCCAAAAACCAATTTTGTAGGTGAGCACAAAGGAAAACAATTTTGTTGATTCGTTTTCCCATGACTTAAACTCTTGTTTTTCCATTTGCTTACAGGCATGTTTAAGTCTTCAAGTGGTAACAGTTTGACTGGCAAAAGTCCTTCCAAGAGATGGTCATAGTTATTCAACTGTTCATACTTGATTATACACATCCCTCCCTTCCTTAAAACTTTAGCTTTTTTTATTTATGGTTTTGAGGGTTTTCGTGGGCCTTTTGTGGTGGCTTGTTTGTTCCCAGCCCATGAAATTCTAATTTGGTTTTGTAGTATCATTCGACAGTTTTTATGTCTGACTTTTGTAAAGTTCGTCTTTACTCCTCGGGGTGGAGGTACCGGACCCTACTTCATGTGAGGTTTATTGGGTTTGTTTCATTTTAAAGTTGGCATGGAACTCGAAAGCTTTTAAATTTCATCAAAAATTAAGAGATAACAAGTATAAACAGTCAAATGTGTTGCTTTAAATCAGACAGGTTCAAGATACTCCAATGTGTTTTGCAAGTCTAGGTTCTTTTTTATTTAATTTTGTAGGAATTAGAATTTTTTTGAGATTCCTATTGTTGTTTATAATCAGAGGAGCATTCTCCTGTTGTAGCTAGATTTTGTTTTATGACTTGACAAAGCATTGTAGAGCCTCTGCTTGGTACTTCTATTGATATTCAGGGCTCATTTACCAAACGCTTACCGCTTATCGACAAGAGACATCACTCTCACTTCCCTTATCGTGTAACATTCTCGGCCATTAAAATGGATTGTTGGCAAGCGTCTTAAACCTTGTAAATGCTTCTTGCGCAAAAGTCTTTCCCTCACTGACCAGGTACGACTCTCGGTCCTTGTCATGCATCTTACAAGGTAAGATTATTGGTTCTTTTCTGCTTAATATGTAAGGTAAATGATTAGTAACGGCCTCTAAGTAAATCAAACAGAACGTATTTTGTATATTTCACTTGAGGATAGAGTTTGAGAAGGTGATTGAACCATTTTCTAGTATTTGTATAAAAAAAATTGTGAGACACCAAGTACCGGCACGATTCTAGAAAGAAAGATGCCACATCTCATATGATGTCGTTTTGAATCATGCGAACAAGACGAGAGATCATGACTCAAATGAGCCTTTGTTTGATTAACCCAACTGTAATGATGCAGCCTGAACCAAACTCAGTCGAGGTTGGATACCTTCCAACATTCAACCAAACTCTACCAATCTTAAAAATCAAGAGAACAATGATTCTCGAAATTAATAGAGAAAATCATAGTAATTGGAGACCGAGATTTCAAAGAAAGAATGCTTATAATTTCATACCCTTTAACCATCAACACAAAGGTATTAAACTACTAAACAAGAGACTACTAGACCAGTACAAAAACAAGTCCCAATGCAAAACCGATGAGGAAATATAAAACTGAACAATTAAATTAATAATCCGAGTCAAAGTAGAGTTTTGATTCACATCACGTAAAAAGATTTTTGTTTCTGGGTTGTGTTTGGATTTACGATTTTAGAAGTTTGAGGGTTCATCCGGAAAACCAAAATTTAAAATTATGTATTCAGGTCAACATCACTTTCCACAAGTTTATTATTTTATTGTCTAAAGTTTCCAATCAGCCGCACTACACACTAAAATAAAATTGAGTTTATAGGATAACAAAAGTGTATGAACATTAGTGCATTCTATGTAACAATGTTTAAATATATTTAGAGGACGTTTTTGTATGTCTTCACATGGGTTTTAGAACAATTTCGAAATAAAACTTGTAATCAGTTTTTTTAGAAGATATTATTTGAAAAAACGTTTTATATAAGCGTCTTATAAAAATGTGTTAGTACAATTCTCAAAATTTCATATAAAAAAACTAATACGTGTAATTTTCAATGCGACTTAAACTTGTTAAAACGTCCAAAAATGTTTTTTCAAACTCATTGTAACAATTTTACATATAACACGCAATTATTTGGCCGTATAATTTTTAGTCTTATGAAGCAATTTATCAAAGACAATCAAACATTTCAGACGTCTTATAAACCTGATTTAGACGTGGATTGATTAGGTTTAGTTTTCTTCTTTCTTGTATTTCTTTACATCAGTTTTTGATTGGTTAATACTGTTCATATCAAAATTTACATATTTATAATTTAAGGTTTGAATCTCGAAGCTAATTAACTACAAATTGAACTTTCGAAATAAACAACTAAAATCATAAGCAAGACAAACGATTTTGGTGATGCGGAAACCCCGACAAGGGTGAAAACCGCAGATGATCAGAGATACCGTCAATGCATTATCAGGGACATCGTCCTCAACAATATTGATTACAATTACAAGTCATGGTTAACGCGACAAGTTGTGTATAAAGTTAAAAGATGACTTTAGCAATAAGGATTTCTGCGAAGATGCTTCAAAAATAGATTATGTATTTTTTCTTTGTATTCACAATGTTGTTGTTGTTTTGTCTCTTCAAATACTCCTCAGTTCTTTTATAGGTAGTTTTTATAACGGTTATCCTCAATTGTCATTATGATGGTAACAGTTGTGTCTTGACTGTGTAATTGAATGTTCGTCGTCGATTATGCCTGGTGGAATAATGAGATGAATTTTGGTCATAAATTTTCAAGACTTGCAATAAATAAGAAAGATAACGGTCGTCGAGATACTTAAGAGTTAGTGTGAGTTGTAGGTAAATAACTATGAACTTGACTATCGATGATCATCTGTCGTAAATATTAAAATCGTCGAAGATATTGGCGACCAATCAATGAAAGTATCTTCGTCGAGGATAATATCCTCGACTGTGGAGCGTACGAATTTTTACACAAACAATTTGCCCTCTAGATCTGAATTTCAAATTTCGCTCCCAAAGTTGGCTTTCGGGGATTCTTGAAATGTTGCTCCTTGGTAACTAAATTGGTTGAGAAGAAACCGAATCGTTTCCTTAGAAACCGATTCGACGATTTTGGCGACTGAATGGTTGCGCATGTGCATGACATCAGCATGTCAAGACAACTGTTTATAGACATGAGTCTCTCATCGAGGGTGGGACTTGAATTGACTGGACTGGTGTCGCTTATCAAGGAGGTGATGTTTTTTAAGTCATCATGATGATTTTCAGAAAATCGATTTTTCTTTTTTTACGTCTATCAAGTCTTTCAGATCAACAAGTACCGCATCGAATTTGCAAGAAGTTGAGTTTACAAGTGTTTTGAAGAATTCGGCAAGTGAAAAGTAAAATCCAACTATTTATTCATCGTATATCCCCCCCCAAGCTTATAGCTAGAAGATCGGGAAAAGATTGTGAGGTTTTTAGTTTGTTTAGAGCCATATGGTCTATCCTTTAAGATCGGGAAAAAATCGGCATGTTTTTTAAAAAGGTCTACTGTCAACGAGTATGTAAATCTATAGAGTCGCACATAAAGAAAATACATTTGCCTCTATTTTCAGAAACTTGAATTAAATCATTTTGATTGTTAAAATAATTTTTTTTGAAGGATAACTACAAAAATATGTGTTAAAATGTAATTACTATAATTATAGGATGATATCTATAAATGTATATAAGTATACTAAAGTTGAAGATAATTATATAAATATTAGGAAAAGTACAACAAAAACCAAAGGACTTCTTTGTTTGGAATGATTAAGTCCTTAGACTTTTTTTTTTGAACAAATAAGTCATTGGACATTCCAAAACATGTTAAATAAGTCATTGGACAATTTTTTGGAACAAATAAGTCATTGGACATTCCAAAATATGTTAAATAAGTCATTGGACAATTTTTGGAACAAATAAGTCATTGGACATTCCAAAATATGTTAAATAAGTTCTTGGACAATTTTTGGAACAAATAAGTCCTTGGACATTTCAAAAAATGTTAAATAAGTTCTTGGACAATTTTTGGAACAAATAAGTCCTTGGACATTTCAAAAAATTTTAAATAAATCCTTGGACAATTTTTCGAACAAATAAGTCCTTGAACAATCCAAAACATGTTAAATAATTTATTGAACTTTTATAAAACATGTTGGATACATTCTTATGACTTGTACAACTAATTAAAGTGGTAAAATAGTGAAAAAAATCCGGAAAAAACTCAATAAACATTCATATTTTGAACGATTAATCCCCTAAATATTTTTTGAACCAAAAAGTATTTAGATTTATAAAATTAAACAAATATAACAAAAAAGTACTTACATTTACAAAAAAATAATTACATTTAATAAAGATTTTTGATAAAGTTTATTTTAATTAAAATTAAAATATATTCTGTCAGTGATTTTTCAAACAAAAAAAAATAATTATTATTAAATTTATTTTAATTAAAAATATATATATCATGTATGTGATTTTTTAAATTAAAAAAAGATTTAAAAAGATTACTGGTGAAATTTATTTTAATTAAAAATAATATATTTTATAATTTTTTTTTATTTTTTTAGTTTAAAAAATCACTGACAAAATATATTTCCGGATTTTTTTCATTATTTTACCACTTTATCGTTCAAAATATGAATGTTCATTAGGGTTTTTTCCGGATTTTTTTTTCACTATTTTACCACTTTAACTAGTTATACAAGTCATAAAATGTATCTAACATGTTTTATAAAAGTTCAAGAAGTTATTTAACATGTTTTGGATTGTTCAAGGACTTATTTGTTTCAAAAATTGTCCAAGGACTTATTTAACATTTTTTGGAATGTCCAAGGACTTATTTGTTCCAAAAATTGTCCAAGGACTTATTTAACATATTTTGGAATGTCCAAGGACTTATTTGTTCCAAAAAATTGTCAAAAGACTTATTTAACATGTTTTGGAATGTCCAAGGACTTATTTGTTCCAAAAAAAAGTCCAAGGACTTATTTGTTCCAAAAAAAAGTCCAAGGACTTAATCATTCCAAACAAGAAAGTCCATTGGTTTTTATTGTACTTTTCCCTAAATATTACACATAATTACATAATCTTATTTGAATATAGTCTATCTATATAAATAAGGTGATAAGCTAAAGAGTAAAGACCAATTTGATTGAATCCTTTTAGATTTTATCTATTAGAGAAAAACAGAAGGGAACCTTTTTTTTTTTTGTTAAAAGAAACACATATTAGATCTAGGGTTTTGGGAGAAAACGCGTTCGTGTGTGGACTACCAATAAAGAGAAACCTAATTTGGTTTCAAAGTGCTCCGTCAGAAACAATCACAAGTCCGAA